CCTTTGTTTCTGTGGCAAACAGAGAGCGAGGGCCAGAGTGACCACTGAGCCCCCCTGGACGACTCTACCCACCTGGGAAAAGCCCCAGGCAGGCTGTCCCAGGGGTAGGATTCTCTTCCATCTTGCCTTCCATCTCTCCCCTGCACAGAGATGGCCGACTGTCTCACATTTGCTCTCTCTGCTCTCTCTACTCAGGAATCTGAGCTCCCATAATCACTTCTTCTGACTCCAACTTGGACTAACTTGTGAAGGAAACCTCTCATAGCCTCTCAGCCACTGCTGACTCCATACGCCACACTGATCAGATCAACAGTGGCCTATCGCTCGCTGTGGTTGATGGGTAAGTGTAACCTCTCCGCGAGTCCCTTTCCCATTTGTACTCTCAGACTTTGCCCTCTACGAAAATCCCCACTCCCAGGAATCCTCCTGTAAGCTCTGGACTGTAATAGGTTTGGCCCAACTCCCCGTGAGAAGGGTCCGGGAGGACTGTGGCGATGTCCCTTGTCTGACCGACCTTTCTGTGGTTGTGTATCCCACCACCTTGGGCTCTGGACATTATAGCAGGGCGGCAGAGTCCAAGCCCCCTAGCGTTGCCACTTGCCTGCCTCCTAAAAAAAAAAAATCTCAAAAACCCTACCACTTTGACATCTAGCCTAATTTTCTTCTGCAATACAGTTTACACTGGATCCAACTCATTTTCCTCCACAAGGTGGCCTAAAATTGACACAAATTAGGCAATAACTCAATTTGACAAAAAAAAAAAAAAGAAGAAGAAGAAATTTGACCTCTGAATTTTCCATGATCCAGGTAAATTCTGTCACCGCAATGGGAAATGGTTAGGTATTGCCTATGTTCAAATCTGCTTTTTCCTTTATTCTCACCTTCACTCTCAATCCCGCTCACTCTCTGAATTCTGAATCCCCAAACTCTTCACCTGACTCACTCTATTCAATCTGACTTCCAAGCATTCTACCCAGGAAAATCCACCTCTCTTACTTGGCCTCCTCCATATGCTAACCCCCAATCACTTGCTGCCCAACCACCTCAGGGACAAAACTCTGGCTCTTTCCCCCTTCCACCAGCAGCAGTCACAACTGCTCTCCTTGCCCACCCCCCTGGCATCTTTTGTAATTACTCTGTGTTAAACCAGCTACTCCCAGTGGCTGCAGTTTCCCAAAATGTCAGTTTAAACGTTCCTTTCCTCTCTTTGAAATGCGGTGGCAGCAGGTAGGAGGTACGTCAATTAACATCATCTTTAAAAAACTAGCTTGTTACTTTCCAAACTTATTTTGTAACTTAACAGAGCCCACCAAAAACAATGGTTCCTGCTAGAGACCCCCTAGAGCGATTTATGCAGAGTTAAAAGTTTTAATTTAAATATTTTCTAAATGTAATCTTAAGTATTCTTATCCATTTATATTGTATGAACAACATTTGTACTGTGATTAAATATAACTCTTCAAGTATTGTTCACAGCATTCTCTAAAAATGTAGCATTAATAGCAAAGATAAACTGGCATAGAATTAGAATTGAATCCTCTGCTAAATTGTTCCAAGTTATGAGATGAACACATGTAGTAACTTGTGAAGTTTTTTTATTTCCATTTTGGTGACAGACTAGAGACACAGATTTCATATTCTACTGAAGTAATCTTTATGTTCTTTGTCTCTCGTTAAGTTCTCATTGTTAAAAAAACGTGTTATTGGTGAGGAAGGATACAATATTCTTTAGAACACTGCAGCATTTTAAAATTATTTATCATTGATACATGGATACATCAATTTATCATTGATTAGGAATTAAAACCTAATCCTCTATTAAAGCTAGTTTCAAAATACACATTACTGTAACATCTCCTTTTAAATGATTTTATCTAATTGGTGACAATAAATTTTCTATCTAGCTCCAATATGTCCTAGCTCTGACTCTGTTGAATTGTTGAAAGGTGTAAGATGAACCAATGAGCCTCTGCCCACTAATGTTCTCGAGGAACCCTCCCCAAACTTCAACATGTTCCTGAGCCTGTGAATGCACTAAGGTGAATGTAGTTACCCAGTAAACCTTGGGAACATTTTCTCAACCCTGGTGCAATGTCTCAGAAATATCAAAGCTACTCAAGTAACATCCTCGGAACACTGCCATATTGGGGTCTTACTAAGACATCATCTAGCAACTGTCCGCCATTCCTGCTTGCTGATGTAGTTTGACAGCAACCAGTGGTTGCCTCTCTTTCCCCTACTGTGGACACAGGAAGAAAAAAATCCTGAAACATTCGTCCCACTCAGCTTCTTCTGTACAGTGACTTTCCCCACCCTAACCAGAGGCCCACATTGGCTTGCATCCTTTTCAACTATGTAAATATCAAAATAAAAACAAACATTTATGCAAAGAACTAAAAATGTTACACCTAGCTATAGACAACTGCCTAGGCATCCTAGTACCTATGCAAGTGTTCACTGCTGGAAGAAAAGCATCCAAAAGCTGGCAGGCATTCTGGGCCTGGTTAAAACCAAATCTGTGTTTACACTATGGTACCAGCATAGTTGCCTATTCTATTTTTTTTTTCTATTTTTCTTTTTCAAAATTTTCAGTATATGTGGGGAAGGTGGGGAATCCCAGCCCCTAGGCTGCAGATTGCCCAGGAAAGGAGGTCTGGGGACATATTGGGGTGGGAACCACTGAGGGCATGTTTGAAGGGGAGGAATGACTTCTGGGGTCTTCCATGGACTGGGCCACTGTGTCATACAAATATGACACAGGTAGGAAAGGAAACTGATACCCAAGTGGTTTAAAGGGGACAACCAGAGAGCACTTCTGTCTGGGTCAGGCCAGGGTAGCCTCCTACAGGGGAGACCTGGACTGGGCTAAATGGCATCACCTGTCGAGCACTGGTACATGCAAAAGCTGGGGTTGGGGGAATGCCTGGAAGGGCTAGGTTACAGTACCCACCCACATGTCAGAGCAGAGGGTGGGCCACCTCAGACTGGGCCACAGCACTCACTGAATATAAGAGAACTGGATCAGGGGACAATTCTGTAGTGGACCTGTGGGCTTACTTCTGTGGGGTCTGCAGCACCCTCCAGTTTGCATGGAGAGCTAGGGATGGCGACAAGCTGAGACAAGCTGGACTGCAGGACTCAATGACCCTCACATGAACCAGGAAGGGGCCGGAACTGGAAAGGAGTCAGGCTGGGCTAGGCTGCTACACCTGCTAGTGAGAGCTGGGAACTAAGGGTGGGACGGGCCAGTCTGTAGCCCCTGCTGACAAATGCTGAGACTGGGGGCAGGTCATCTCAGACTGGGTTGTAGCACCTGCTGGCACATGCAAGACCAGGGGCTGGTAGTGAGCCTGGTAAGAAAACCTTGGGGACTACCCTGCTGGGCTGCAGCTCCTGCTGGTGAGCACAAGAGCCAGGGCTAGGGATGGGACATGTTAAGGGTGGGCTAGGCTGGGCTAGGTTGTCACAACAGCTAGCACACATGAGAGCCAGAATGGATGCAGGTCAACTGGGTTAGGCTACAGCACCCAATGGTAGGTGCTGGGACTGTGTTTAAATCATGTCAAGTTGGGACATAGTACTCCTGGCTAGCAAACGATACGGGGCTGGGAATGGGCCCAACAGGATTATGGGCACTGCCCTATTGCACTGCAGCTCCTGCTGATGACCAGAAGAGCCAGGGGTGGGAGTGGGCCAGGCTTGGTCAAGGCAGCAGTATCCACTAGCATATGTGAGCTGCCGTCTGGAAGCGGGTCTGGCTGAGCTAAGCCGCATCACACATGGGTGTGCACAAGAACTAGATGGAATGCAGGACAGATTGAGCTAGGATGTAGCACATGCCAGCACACATAAAAACGGGGGTGGGGACAGGCCTGGTGGGGAGATTATTAGGGGTTGTGCCTGAGTAGGCCACAGCGTCCCCTAGTGTGCATGAAGACTGTGCTTGTGATGAGCTGGCCTGGGCTAGGCTGCAGTTCACACAAGAAATGGGGCTGGGGGAAGAACTGACCAGGCAGCTGCATCCATCAGTATGTATTCTGACTGGTACAGATGATGGACTGAACCTGACCCTGCACTGGCTGGCGCATACAAGAGTCACATCTGGGGTCATCCCAGGCAAAGTTCCTCAGGGGACTCCCAAACTAGACCACGGACTCAGACCTCGGACATACAGAAAATCGCAGGATGTGTGGTTCACCCTTGGAGTACATGTATCGGGACTGGGCCTCCCTTAGTTGCTAATGCTCATGCAGGGGACAGCATGTCCAGATGCACACAGAGGATATGACAGCCAGTTCATCTAGGTCAGCAGGGAACGCTGAGTGCCTCTTCAGAGGATGGAAAACAGAATAGGTTGGACAGTTTGGGTCAAGTTGTGCAGCAAGAATCTGAGTCTATGGATGCACGCTGAGGTGGACTTGGTTAGCCAGTAGACCTTGGAAAGATTTTCTCAACAAGACTGACAATGTCTCAGAACTATGAAAAACACTTAAGACACACCTTCGGTGCACTTTTTCCTAAGTAGGGGTCTCTAAGGTATTATCAGATGACTGAACCACATCCCCAGGTGCTAATGTAGTTTGACAGCAAGGAGCAGCCCCCTCCACCTCTCCTACTGCAGAAACAGCAGAAAAAAATATTGAAACATTTGTCCCATCCACCTTCCTCCATGCTTTGACCCTTCCCCACCCTAATCGGAGACCCCATTGGCATCACTCTCAACTATTTAAATATTAAAAATAAAAGTAAATAAAAGAAAGAAAATGAACAATATGATGGCCTATTGAAATAAAAACCTGTCCTGCCAAAGATCCTGTCCTTCAATCAGTCAGCAAGTTCTGAGACAGGACTTAAAAATGAGCTACCAGAACAAGACCCAAACCCAAACCTTTGGTTTATTTCATGGCCCTGATGTACAAACTCACTAAAAACCAACCACCGTTTGAAAAGCATTAACAAAAACGATTTACAAAATATAAGAAACATTAACACTGACTCACCACTGTCACCCTGGCCATTGCTCTCTTCTGAATTCAAGGTCTGTTTTCCTGCAGTATGTCCTCGCCTCGAAACACAGTATCCTGAAGTAGCAGGCACCATTGCAGTGGGTCCTCCATGATTCTGCACCAAAGAAAAACCCACAATTGTATTCTCTGTATAGTCAGAAAACAAGCTAGAAGATATTTTGAAAGGCAATCAGTAATACAGTAAGTAATAATGTGAATTGCTACTGTCAGAGAATTCTATAAGTAAATCCCTCATTATGCATCAAAAGAAAAAAGCAATGAAACTGGAACCAGTACTATAGTTTAGCAGGTTAAGCTGTAACTTGCAGTGCCCACACCCCATATGGTCACCAGTTCAAGTCTCTGCTGCTCCACTTCCAATTTAGCTCTGTTTAATGCACCCAGGAAAGTAGTGGAAGACAGCCCAAATCTTTGGGCCACTTTATTCAAGTGGGAAACTCAGAAGACGTTTCTGACTCCTAGGTTTGGCCTGGCCTAGTTCCAGCTGTTGTGGCTATTTGAGGAATGATCCAGGGGATAGAAGAGCCCTTCCCAATCTTTCCCCTCTCTGTAACTCTTTCAAATAAATAAATATTTCTAAAAAGTAATGACCATCAGAAAATATTAATACATATGTATGTAAGATTATTTGTCTACCTCTCTACTATTATTTAACAACAGCTTAAAATTCTCTTCTCCTAAAAGCTTTAAGATGAAAACTCACATTCTTCAGAAAAGTACTGGGTTGTTCAGACAAAAAGCTAAAATTTATTGACACTGCCTTTACTCAAAAAGAAAAAAAGCAAACAGCTTTATTTAGTAAAGCTTTGACCCACTTACAGGTAAAGTTGGATAAGCAGTGTCATCCCCTTCTTCAACTTCATAAAAAGTAACCGTTTCTTCCAAGCTCCTAGGTATCTGTCCATTTTCTGGGACAAAGCCATACTGACAGTCCTTATTCATACAATGCATCTGGCGGTGACTATGTCTAAAGGAGCTTAAGTAGTTTGGAGAATGAAAAACAAGAAAATATGTTTCTCATTTCTAAACATTTCAAACATTGAAAGTTAATACTTGTAGTCTATGTTATCACTGTTCAGTAATGAAACAGATTTAAATCATTTTTTTCCTGATTTTTGAACCCTTAAAATACTTACCGAGATCTATAGGAGAAATTATCATAGTTTTGGCAGCACCTTTTACCTGGGCCAGAGTAAAAACCAACTTTAGGGCCTGCCATGCTTTGCCTGTTTATAAAGTGGGATGAATCCCTGAGAATAAAGGAAAAAGCGAAAATAAAACTCTCTTATGCCTTTGATATTAAGTAGCAATAAAACACCTTCCTAAAAATATACAACCAGCAAGATTTTCTCTTCCTAACATATTGGCATATGGTCTACCCATTACTAATGGATAGAGCGGCACATGAACATTCACATTCATGACATTTTATCTTCTAGCATCTCTCCAACTTTTAACCCTTCTCTACCCTATGAAATAAATATGCCAACAGATTCATTTGATAAGCATTTAACAATATACATGTTCTATCCTAAATACTTCCTTTAGGCAGAAATCATAAAGAATCTGAACTAATAAGATATTTTTGCATTCTTCCAGAAATTCTAAGATCTAAACAGACATAAGGTATCTGAGAGCCTTTAGTCTTACCTAGGCATCCCATATCCCCGACCTTGTCTCTGAGTTGAGTACTGAGGATGGAAGTGTTCATTAGGCAGGACATTCGCTGCTGTCTGTGAGTAGTGCACTGGATGCTCATGCCCATAATGCATGCCATGCTGAAGCCTGGGTGGGAGGAGGGCGTCTCCCCTGCTATAAGCCATTGTCATATAAACCTCTTTTCCTCGAACTTTCTTGAATATCTTCTTCCGTTGCTTCATGTCCATGTCTAACATAGCTTTCAGGCATACAAACAAGTAGCAAGTAAATTTCACAGCCAAAGCAATACACTTGGCATCCTCTAACTCCCATGTTGCCTCAAACTCTTAAATACTTTAGTCATGAAGAAACCAAACATATACAGGGAGAAAACTTTCGTATTCTGCAATGCTGTACTAGATTTTCCATTTTGAAGGGGAAAATGAGGTAAATTTTACAACGAGTGTGTCTCAGTATTACCTTTATAAGTAAAACTGACCTCTAAATATTAAGTCATCCAGTCACCATCCAATCACCTATATCACCTTTTTTTCTAAGAAATTATGCCTATCAATATTTTTACCTGTTTCTATGGAGGTGTTTTGCCAATTCTGACAAATTTTCCCCTCAAGCTTTAGAGGCTAAAATTTATACCGGCTTAAGTTGACACAAGGTCCCCTAGAACAGTGACTCTCAACCAGGAATAGTTTTCTTCTTCCTTCAAAGTATATTTGACAATTATCTGCAGATGGTTCTAGTATTCTTAAGTAGAAACAGAGGGTGCTGCTGGCAACCTCTGGGTAGAAACTAGCAATACCGCAAAACATTCTACAACAAAGTGTTATCCATTAGAAAACATTTTTTTTTTTAATTACAACGTAAGTGGGGGCAGTATGCTAACATAACAAGACAGTCCTCTGCCTGCATTGCCAGCATGCCATACAGGTTCCAGTTAATGCCTTGGCTACTTTACTTCCAATCCAGCTCCCTGCTTATGGCGTAGGACAGCAGTAGAGGATGGCCCAAAGCTTTAGGGCTCTATACCCGTGTGGGAGACCCAGAAGAAGTCCCGGGTTCCTGGCTTCAGATCGGATCAGTTCTGGCTGTTGCAGCTATTTGAGAGTGAAACAGTAGATGGAAGAGCTCTCTGTAATTCTGACTTTCAAGTGAAAAAATAATTCAAAATAAAAAAAAAAAACAGAAGAAAATGGCTCATAAGAAAGAAAAAGTAAAAGCCTTTTTAGTATACAAACCCATTTCTGGAACATAGCCCCCAGACATTTTCTGGTAACCTCTTCCTTTCCGACTGGTTACAGCATTCCAGGCAGGAATGGGTGTCACTTGGGTAACTGGTTTTAGGTTAGCCAGTGGAACAACATGCCTTAAAGTTAAAAGTACCACCATGAAGCCATTGTAACAAACTCCACTCTTATTTAACACATACACCCTAGACCACCTGCTTCATTTTCTACTACATCTACTTAAACTTATTGACACCAGCCTACCTGTTTCACTTTTTGTTTGTTTAGGGTAGAAAACCTATGTGTGTAGCACTTATCCTATATCTGGAAGAAAAACTGGTAGATTGTAATAGTTCATAAATATTTGCTGCCCCTGCTCAGAGGAGGATTTTATTTTCCCACTCTAATAATGTCAGGCTTTACCAGAAAAACCACTTTGGCCACTAACATGCAATAACATGCAGAAGAATCAGCAGCTGGTTTGTCATATTCTCTTTTCTTTCCATGCTTGTTCTTATAAAAGCACATGTCATTAGAGAGCAACTAAGGACTCATTATGGACATGGTAAAAGAGAGAAATGAAATTTACTGTTTTAAGCTCCTGAGATTTGACTGTTAGGGCAGTACAGCCTCATTTAGTGGTTCTTAAAGTAGACCAATAACATTGCCATCACCTGAAAATTTGTCATAATTTCAAATTCTTAAACACTATTAGATCAGAAAACCCTGGAGGCGTAGAATATTAATCTATTTTCATAAGCCTGCTAGTTAATTCTGATACATGTTTTAGAAGGAGGACTGGTCTAGCTTGACACTGGCAGAGGCTCAGTTAACCAAACATCTTTCCAGTGACTATGAATAGTTTTACATCAGAATTCCCTTGTATTTAATTTTTATATTTCCTATAAGTCAGTTAGTACCTAGAATCTGGAAACTTTTATACAAAAGTGCTACCTAGCCTACATTGTGATTTCTACTTTAACATATTTTTGGTAATTCAATGTAAGACCTCTCAGGTAAATACCAAATAAAATTCTGGTTATTTTATTAGCATCCTATTCTCAAAAGTTAGTATTATAAAAAGCCACCCGGAGCCAAAGATTTTAGTAATTCAATACACTGTTTTGCTCTTACTTTTCTGCCAGTTCTTCAATGAAGACTGTTACAGAATTGTTCTCATTTCCAACTTCCTGAATATGAGCATTATAATATTTTCCACCAGATTCCAAGCGAACCTGAAAGTGGGAAGAGATAGTAAGAACATTTCTAGTCTCATTATTTTAGTATCATGCATTGATAGATGGTTTCTATCAAACACCACTCTTGCCCCAGAGGGCATCAGTGTTTCCTTTGTAAAATAACTGACATCAACACTGCCTGTCTTAGTCAATCAAAGTGACACATGCTGGAAGACAGCTGTAATTAGCCATAAAAGTTCATTATTAAAATGCAACACAAACATCAAAAACATTTTGCTAGCATTTTGTAAATAAGTCTTGCTCAACTTGGGAATGACAGAAAGTTCCATCTCAGACGAATAAATTACTGCTTTTTAAAATGAACTAACCTGACACTTGTCTCCCAAATAGTACTGCCTTCCAGCATACTCCATGTAATCAGATTTTTGAAGTTCTAGGTAAAAGAAAACAAGCATTCAAATTCAATTGAACCAGTTAATGTTCCAATTTTACACCACTCAATTTCCTAATTTATTCTTACCATGATGTTTTCGACAATGCTACAAATAAAATCTATGTGGGGAGGGGAAACACTCCACAAAGGCCATTCTATTGCTCTTTACAGGTTCATTGGTCAGTTTCAAGTAACATGAGAACAATTTTGTACTGATTTTTGTGCTGAAATTCAAATATAATCTGAGTTTATCAAACACAAATAAGGTATAATTTCAAAGTAACATTATCCAGATACTTTTATTTCAAGTATTTATTTGAAAAGCAGAGTTACAGAGACAGATCCATCTACTGGTTTACTCCTAGGCCTCGAGATGCCTAGGGCTGGGTCAGCCTGAAGTCAGCAACTGCATTAGGGTCTCTTGCACGGGTGGCCATGGGCCAAGCACTTGGGTCATCTTCTGCTGATTTCTCAGAGTGCCTGGATTCGAGCCTTGGCTCCAATTCTGATCCCTGACTCTGGGATTCAACAGGTATGGCTCATGTGGTTGTGTTCCTGGCATCCACGGGGGAAACCTGCACATATGGGAGACCTGGATTCAGATCTGAACTGCTGGCGCCAGCCTGGCCCAGCACCAACAGATAACTGGATAGTGAAATTAGCCAATGAGCAATCTTAGTCTTCTTGGAATTAAAAAAAAATTATGAGCATTAAAATGTAAATTTCAGAGAAGGTGTTACAATAAACTGTTTTTCATCATGCAATTTAAAAATACAGAAAAACCTTAGCTATAGGTTACAGAGAAATAGGTTGTAGGTCAGATTTGATTCATAGATGTAACATATTCACTTATCAGTAATAATCTGAATACATTTAAAATGGACTTGTTTCCAGTCACTGAGAGTCAGTCTCTAGCTCTAAAGGATCTTGCAAAGTATACACAAAAATGAAGTCCCAGATAAGCATTACATTCTAAATGATTACTCCCTATGAATCTATTTGTTTCCTTCTTTCAATTTAAATCATATGTGGGGCTAAGATTAAAAGTTCTAGTCTGTTTTTGACAAAAAAAAAAGTTGTAAACATGTCCTAAAGTAACTTCTCTTGGTTCATTTATGTGTTTTTTTCTTGGTTCACTTATGATTTGAAAGAAAGCTGTTGAGGGGCCCAGTACAGTAGCCTAGTGAATAAAGTCCTCGCCCTGCATAAGCCGGGATCCCACATGGGCGTTTTTTTGTGTCCCCGCTGCTCCACTTCCCATCTGGCTCCCTGCTTGCAGCCTGGGAAAGCAGTGAAGGACAGCAAAAAGCCTTGGGATCCTACACCTACATGGCAGACCCAGAGGAATCTCCTGGCTTCAGATCAGCTCAGCTCTGGCAATTGCAGCCACTTGGGGAGGGAACGAGCAGATGAAATATCTTTCTCTGTCTCTCTTTCTCTCTATAAATCTGACTTTACAATAAAAATTGGTTAAATCTTTTAAAACAAAGAGTCTATTGAGTACTTACCTTTTCTGCTGTCCAACCAAACATCAAATTCTACATTACGATAGATTTCTGGATCCAGGGCTTTGAGTACCTTATAGGGGAAGAGCATCTTGGATGGATTTTCTGGAGACTAAAGAGAAATAACCATGCCACAAGCTCACCATCATTAGCTTAAATATGCCTTCTTTCAGTAGTGAAGAAACAAGGATCACCTTTTTAAAATTATGTACAAATGCTCCCTCTTCTTTATTAAAATAATAGCGCAAATTATACTGTATTTTAAACATCAGAAAATTAAAGAAGTAAAACATAGGCCAATGCAATGGATCAATTTGCTAATTCTTCCCCCTTTAAGCACTGGAATCCTACACAGGAACTGGTTCATGTCCCAGTGGCTCCACTTCCCATCCAGCTCCCTGCTTGTGACCTGGGAAAGCAGTCGAGAACGGCCCAAAGCCTTGGGATTCTGTACTGCTTGGGAGACCTAGAAGAAGCTCCAGGCTCCTGGTTCTAGCTTCAGATTAGTTCAGTTCTGGCCACTGCAGCCACTTGGGGAGTGAAGTAGTAGATGAAGATCTTTCCCTCTGTATCTCCTCCTCTCTGTAAATCTGCCTTTCTAATAAAAACAAATCTTTAAAAAAAAGTGAATGCCAACTATATACATAAATTTAGATGGCAGAAGGGAACCATTGCCTGGAAAAACCAACTGAGGATTCTTCTTACAATTAATATAACACAACCCAGAATTAAGAAGTATCTGACAAATGTCATCTTGACATACGCTGATGTGCGTTTCTGTATCCTAAATTTATTGGGAAACATTTGAAATGTTAACTTGTTTTGGTAAGATGGGTATACTTTTCAAAGGAACTATCATTTTTCTTTTGCTTTCTTAGAATTTTACCATATTCAATACTGTCCCAAAATTATCAGCGCTTGGGATTTACGTAGGTTGCTGCATTAGTATTTGCTCTATTAAGTAGCCTCAACCTGAAGGCCCCTTGATCTTAGGCCTATAGAAATGCTAAATATTCTCTCATCCCTTTACCACACCAGGATCATCACCTAGTTTCTTCGGATATACTAGGAGTAAGCATTCTGTTCTTAAACAAACAAAAAAAGTAATATTATCAGAAGATTGATCAAACTAATACCTAAATATTGCATGTATATATTATTTTAACTTGAGAACAGCTTCTGAAATTTGAACAAAATGAAGTACATGGTTTACATCTGAAGCTAAGTGAGACATCCACAAAATAAATAAATAAATAAATAAACCATGAGCAGCAATCCCTGAGTACCATTTAGTTAGAATGGATCACCTGATCTTAATCAGTTTAAGTCATGATGGTATAACTGAAGAGTATGGAAATTATTTTCCATAGAAAATAGCCAACCTTTGATTCTTCTGTCCCTTGATTGCACCCCTCTGGTTTACTTTCAACATTACAGCAGGCACCCCACTCTTCAGGCCTGAAAGATCAAGAGCAAAGAGCTTTACTTAAGTATAGCAGCTACTTATCTAATGACTATACCACCACCTAGTGGCAAAGCAGATCAGTCTCCAAACCAAATATATATTTTTTAAACCCAATATTTGCATGCAAGCTTCCTTTATTTAAGTATGTGTTATGACACATATGGATTACCTCTATATTTCGTATCTCCCATGAGGACATACTTAAGATGCTCCCTGCCTTCAGGTTCACAACTCTGATTCCCCGCTGCTTCTAACCAAGACAGAATGCATGTAATTATGTTACATAAGAACGCAGGGCCCATGTTGTTAGTCTCACGCCTCTGGTGCTCCATAAAGATGCAAGCAGTGATATCCACCAACATGCATGTCAAGGAGATGATGGCTATCTAAGAGCTAAAAAAAAAATCTTAGTCTCAACATATGGAAGAACTGAATGTGCCAAGAACTGAGTTAAAACGTAGATCTTCCCTCAGTGAAAATTCCAGACAGGGACAAGCATATGACATGTAGGTTAAGCTACCAGCTATAATGCTGGAATTGTGTATGAGTGTTGGTTCTGGCTGCTCCACTGCTGATTCAGCTCCCTAACAATTGCCTGGGAAAAACAGCACAAGATGGCCGAAGTGCTTGGGCTACCGCTACCCATGAGGGAGACTAGATGAAGCTCCTATCATTGGCCTGGCCTAGTGCTGCCTGGCCACTGTGGTCACATGAAGAGTCAATCAGCAGATGCAAAATCAATCTAACTTTCAAAGCACACACTTACATACACGAATGAATGAATGAATATTTTAAAAAAGAAATAAAGCTACTAGTCCTAGGGCAGGTATTGCGGCACAGCAAATTAACCTGCTGGTCACATATCCCATTGGGTGCCGCTTAGAGCCCTTGGTGTCCCAGTTTTGATCCAGTTCTCTGTTAATATGTCTGGGAAAGCAGAAGATGGTCCAAGTATTTGGACCTCTGCTGGAAAAAACTCCTGGCTGATACATGGTTGCTACTCCTTGAAGTCCCAAACACATAAAAACTCTACGTAAAAGGAAAAAAATTGCAAGCATCAATCATCCAAGAAATAGAACTGCATAACAAAATCGCAGACGAAGCTAACTGGCACTAAACCTATCTGAATTTCCAGACAGAACTGGAAATCAGGACATTCACTTTATTATCAAACCCAAAGTTTAATTAGATCTATCAGTTGCATCCATGTAAACACACATCTATACTCCCAGAGTACACCAAAGGCAATACTCACAACTTCAAACTCCTGTTAGCACCAGATGCTCTACTAGCTACATGTTTTTCTCAAGCAACAACTCAACCTTGGTAACCAGTAAAAGAAAGATGGTGTGGGTTGATAATCTCCTTTTTTCCTACCAAAAGAATGACCAATAGCCTAGGTACATAAAAATATTTGCAAGTACTCCTTTAAAACTGTAGATTTCAAGGTGCTGGCATTGTGGCTTAAGGAGGGTTAAGCCACCGCTTGCAACACTGACATGCCATAGCAAGTGTCATTTTGAGTTTCAGACATTCTTCTTCCAGTTGAATTGCCTGCAGATGTGCCCCAGGAAGGCAGTTCTTAGGGGCCTTTCACTTGTGAGAAACCAAGATGGAGCACTTTGTTTCTGGCTTTGGTCAGACCCAGACTGGCTACTATATTCATTGGAGGAGTGAACCAGCAGATGGAAAACTGATTTTGTCTATGTGTGTGTTTAAATATATTAATGTTTTATTTTTTTGTACAGGCTTTGTGTTTAAAAATCAGCCAGAGGGCCCAACATGGTAGCCTAAGGGCAAGTGTCACTTTGTGTCCCAGCTGCTCCACTCCCCATCCCACTCCCTGTTTGTGGCCTGCAGTGGAAGATGGCCTACGTCCTTGGGACCCTGCACCCACGTGGGAAACCCAGCAGCAGCTCCTGGCTTCAGATCAGCTGAGCTCCAACCATTGTGGTAACTTGGGGAGTGAACCAGCAGATGGAAGATCTTTCTCTCTCTCTGTATCTGTCTGTTCAATAAAAATACATTTTTTTAAAAAATCAACATGATCAGTCATATAGAAATACATTAACTATTTCAAAAATATTGTAACTACTGGTAAGATGCTTTCAACATAAAAAAAAAGTGGGGCCAGTGCAATGGCACCATAGGTAAAGACATGGCATGCAGCACTGGCGTTCCATATGGGCACTGGTACATGCCTCAGCTGTTGCACTTCCCATCCAGCAACCTGCTTGTGCCATGGGAAAGCAGTGGAAGATGGCACAAGTCCTTGAGACCCTTTACTCACATGGGGGACCCAAAAAGAAGCTCATGATTCCAGGTTTCAGATTGGCTCAGCTCTAACTGTTGCAGCTATTTGGGGGAGTGAACCAATGAATGAAACAAATCTGTTTCTCCCTCTCTGTAACTCTGCCTTTCAAATTTTAAAAAAATCTTAAAAAATAGAAGGAAATATCACATTTTGGCCTTCTGACTAAGATCAAGTGTAAAACCAGAAGGAAATAATAAAAACAGTACTTTAAAAAAAAGATTCGTTCATTTTTATTGGAAAGTTAGATTTACACAGAGAGAAAGATCCTCCATCCTTTGGTTTACTGCCGAAGTGGCCACAATGGCCAGAGGTGAGCCAATCTGAAGCCAGGAGCCTTGAGCCTCCTCCAGGTCTCATAAGCAGGCGCAGGGTTGCAGGTTTTGGGACATCTCTTCCCAAGCCACAAGCTGGATGGAAAGTGGAACAGTCAGGACACGAACCATACAGGATGTTTGCACTGCAAGTAGAGGATTAGAGAACTATGCCACCAGGCTGTGCCTTACACGTAATCTTTCTGGGCCTGGTGCCAATAGTCTAGTGGCTAAACCCTTGTCTTGCATGTGCCAGTATCCCATATGGGTGCCAGTTTGTGTACCAGTTGCTCCACTTCCCATCCAGCTCCCTGCCTGTGGCCTGGGAAAGCTGTCGAGGATGGCTGAAAGCCTTGGGATTCTGCACACATGTCAGAGACAAAAAAGCAGCTTCTAGCTCCTGGTTCTGGACCAGCTCAGCTCCAGAAACTGCGGCCACTTGGGGAGATCTTTCTGTCTCTCGTTGTCTCTGTAAATCTGAGTTTCTAATAAAAAAATAAATAAATCCTTACAAAAGGAAAATGGTACTCTTTCAAAATTCATTCTTCAGGGAGATATGTCTGACATCTTCTGGCATGTTGCTACTCAAAATGTGTTCTATTGGAATGGCTCAGGCTTGGCTGTTACAGACATTTCAATAGTAAACCAGCAAATGGAAGTTGTGTTTTATCCCTCTCTATCACTGCCTTTCACATAAATCTTTAAACATCTTTTTGGTTAATCTTCGCTCTTTTGAAAATATACATGTCTGGGGCCCAGCGGCGTGGCCTAGCAGCTAAAGTGTTCGCCTTGAACACTCCAGGATCCCATAGGGCGCCGGTTCTAATCCTGGCAGCTCCACTTCCCATCCAGCTCCCTGCTTGTGGCCTGGGAAAGCAGTCGAGGACGGCCCAAAGCTTTGGGACCCTGCACCCATGTGGGAGACCCAGAAGAGCCTCCTGGCTTCGGACCGGCATAGCATCGGCCCTTGCGGTCACTTGGGGAGTGAATCATCGGACGGAAGATCTTCCTCTCTGTCTCTCCTCCTCTCTGTATATCTGACTTTCCAATAAATAAATAAATCTTAAAAAAAAAACTTAAAAAAATATGTATGTCTGACACACATGAGTATGTATGCATATGTAAGAGGTTGTAAGTTTGTCAGCCCGATTCCACTTTGACCAGATGATGAGGAGAAAATAAGTATCATGTGGCTGGCATCCCCTGCCCCTTTATTACCTATCCGGGGATGAATTCTTGTAATCGAGATGAGCATCATCATTGGCAGTCAGAGCACTGTTTCTGTTCTTCCTGGAATTACTTCGAAACAATTCAACTGCAGTTTTCAACACTTCTTCATCCACAACAAACACATCTTTATAGAGAATTTCATATAAAACAGCTGAAGGAGAAAAAATGGCCAAGAGCTCAACTGTCAAAGCAAGATTGCTTTCATATCAAGGTGAAAATAGGCCAAGCCCAGTATGTAAACTAAATCAGTACCCACAAGGTTTTAAAAGAATTGTCACAGGTACTTCAATTTACCAACTGGAAACATTACCTGAAATTATATCCAAATACTCACAAAGCCTTCACTTACCCTGACAAACAGCTGCACTTGACTGAAACTGTTTTGAATACACAGAGTCATAATGACCACTACTGGAAGAGCATAGCAGAATCTGAAGAAAAACAGAAAAATTAAAATGCTATTCCATATTACAAGCATCTAAATTGATAATTAACTTGAAATTAGGAACTAATCAAATGAATTTAATATTTTAAAATATCTAAATCCAAGTAAATAAGCTAATGCTAGGACATTTCTTGACAGCGATCTTAAATAACGATATTGAAATCATTACTGAAGTTACATCTGTGAGCCTCAATCATATTCCTTTCATACACTGAATAAGTCCTGAAGTACAAATTTTCATTATGATGGTAGTTTTTACAAATTGAGTTACTGAACATGAAGAAGCCTAACAAGTAAAAAAAAAAAAATCAGTTTAACTTCTAACTAACTGCAGAAACTAGGTAAAATCCCAGTCTGATCAAGAAAAGCAAATTCATGGGCCCGGCGCGGTGGCGCAAGTGGTTAAGGTCCTCGCCTTGCCCACCCGGGATCCCATATGGGCGCCGGTTCTATCCTGGCAGCCCCACGCTCAATTCGGGAGTGAATCATTGGACGGAAGATCTTCCTCTCTGTCTCTCCTCTCTGTATATCCACCTTTCCAATAAAAAAATAATAAAAATAAATCTTTAAAAAAAAAAAGAAAAGCAAATTCAGACTTATTTATTCAAGATTATCCACTGCACTAAACAACAACATACCAATACATAACAGCAGTAACTGCTGGAAAGACTTTCTCAATCAGGGCTATAGACATAAGAAGTTAGTGTCATAAGAAGTTAGTGTTTCAGCTGTTTCCTCCATTCCCTAGGTGTTTTTTTTTCTTCAAAACAATTCAAAGACTGCTTGCTAACCCAATTTTTTTCAGCAAAAATATTCCATGTGATAAAAGCACAACAAAGCACTTTTTTTTTAAAGATTTATTTATTTTTATTGGAAAGTCAGATATACAGAGAGGAGGAGAGACAGAGAGGAAGATCTTCCGTCCGATGATTCACTCCCCAAGTGACCGCAAGGGCCAGTGCTATGCCGATCCAAAGCCAGGATCCAGGAACCTCTTCTGGGTCTCCCACATGGGTGCAGGGTCCCAAAGCTTTGGGGTGTCCTCAATTGCTTTCCCAGGCCACAAGCAGGGAGCTGGATGGGAAGTGGAGCTGCCAGGATCAGAACCAGTGCCCATATGGGATCCTGGAGTATTCAAGGCGAACACTTTAGCTGCTAGGTCATTGCACTGAGCCCACACCAAAGCATTTATAAGGTTCTGTTTTAAAAAGTCTGCCTTGTTTGTCTACATGATAGGCAACCAGCAAGTAAAAAGTATGAACCTATCTATGTTTTAAAAACAAATCATGCAAGGTTACAAAAGGATCACTTTCAGCACTTACTGCCTGGTAATGCATGAAATGGAAGAGCATGCAATATTACTTGTTACTCTACAATGTCAGATTTAAATTTTACTTTGCTTTTAAAATACGTGTTTTTATTCTTTCTAGACACATTAAATGAGTACAACTTTCAGTAACTGAATATATTTAGGAAATTGAGGATAAACACAAAGAATTAAGCCGAAAGAGAAGGCGAAAGGTACCAAGGTATTTATTAAGGTGTTTATACCCTTGAAAGTTTTCTCCTAAATATATTTTAGAAAAATCATTAATAATATTTATTACCTTTAATAGTTATTTACGAAAACCCAAACAACTCACATATAAATGCTAAGAGTCTGGATATACACTTTTTTTTAAGGGAAAATTAAGTGTCAACACTGTAACAGCACCTGGCTTTTACATAAATCTGCATATGAACCAACACACTTGCAGTATAAATGGTATGGCCTAGTTGTATGCACTCAAAAGACCAGACATCTGTTCTTACGGAACTCAGTAGGTGATGTCTATACAGGATACATAAGACTCATTTAGAGAAAAGCACCTTTTGTCTAGTGCCTTGTTGCTCATCACCACTGCAATGACTGAATTGTCATGACCTTTCTTTTAGCCTTTTTTTTTTTTTTTTGAACTTTGCTTGTTTCTGGGAGAGGTTTGGTCAATGCCAGGCAGCTTCTGCAAGTGGTTATCAAGGCGGTAGGCACCTTTGGAGGTTGGCGTTCAGTCCATACAGTGGGTAGCGAGATCTCCACGACCTGGAGTTCCACAGCTTGCAGAAACTCCACACCAGATCCCTCCTGGGCTGTGCCCTTGCACTTTACTGCCCCCTGGCTGTCTCATCGTGACTTGCACACGAACCTCCAGTCCTCTCAAATAGCTCTGTGAACAAGATGCATTTCAGGATGGCTTTGAGGGGATCCCCAAATGCATCTCACAGAACAACTGGCAGTCCCTCTGGGACATTTGTAAGTCCCTCCGGCCCCACTCACAGTGCCAGCCACATGGGCTGGTTCTCAATCTTCCTGTCCCACAGCAAGGGCTCAGCAAATTCATGGATGGATAAGGGTGTTCATGGAGAGGCCTACATGGTGAAATGCTATCCTAACCTGTATGCAACTGAAAAGTAAGATCCTGTAATCCCTACTTGGGGGAGAATGAGGAAGAAGGACTTTCTGGAAAATTCGTTTGATGTTAAATGTTATTTGCTGTGCTTTATCCAACACTGAATTCACTGTTTAATCTGGAAATACTTACGCTGCGTCAGAGTCAAAGCTGTTCTATTCAGTTCCTTGTCTTTCCCACCAAGTTCACTCAGGCTTTTTTTTTTAATACAGAAAATAAGACCTAACACATTTGGGAAATCTGTCACTATAATAGATTGTACATTGTTATGTTATTGTTTTTTAAATCACCCTAGAAAACTTCAAATACAGATAGAACTATTGAAAGAAATTTAAAAATGTTATGAATATATGGTTGTCAAAATAAAACATTCTTCTGAATATAGACCTGTTTGAGCATGTGAAATTCATATAAACTGTCTCATTTTTATATATAGTTTGTTTTCCAGCAAATACAATAAAATATAAGAGCCTATTTAAGTCCAAAAAAAAAAAAAACCTGAACCATCAGGCCCGGCGGCGTGGCCTAGCAGCTAAAGTGTTCGCCTTGAACACTCCAGGATCCCATATGGGCACTGGTTCTGATCCCGGCAGCTCCACTTCCCATCCAGCTCCCTGCTTGTGGCCTGGGAAAGCAATTGAGGACACCCCAAAGCTTTGGGACCCTGCACCCATGTGGGAGACCCAGAAGAGGTTCCTGGATCCTGGCTTTGGATCGGCATAACACTGGCCCTTGCGGTCACTTGGGGAGTGAATCATCGGACGGAAGATCTTCCTCTCTGTCTCTCCTCCTCTCTGTATATCTGACTTTCCAATAAAAATAAATAAATCTTTAGAAAAAAAAATGAACCATCGACAGCTGCCATGTGCATGTGTTGAGCTGTCCCCGGGCCTGCCTGGGCTCCGGGGGCTGCTCCCTTAGGGGTGAGTACACCAAGCCGGGAGGTCTCCATGACTGTGCAGGTCTGGGACTCACCCGCTGCCCTCACTGGGTGGTGAATGGGATTGGGGAGGGGTGCAACCTTGGGCCTGGGAGTTTAAACTTCCAGCAGCATCCTGGCTGCTGGTGGGTCTCAGGACTGGGTGTCTCATGCCTGGATCCCAGACGACAGCCACCATGTGCACGTGGTGAGCTATCCCTGGGCGGCCAGTGAGCCATTTATTGCCAGGCTCTGCCTGCTGGCCGCCCAGCCAGGGAGCTCTGGGGTTTTGGTTCTTTGAGTTGCTGCTTCGTTAGCTCCAGGTTGAACCCACTGTGCTTCTGGGACATGAAGCAATCATAAAGATCCCCAATGACAGAAACTCTTTCTGTGAAAAACTTGTAATCACCAAACAATGCTGACCATCAAATACCAGTCCATGCAAAAGCTATGGCTCAGGGCTTGTCCAATAGAATCATACCCTGTTACCAGACATGATGATGGATCAGGAGAAGGGTCACATTAAGCAGAGCCATTACATTAACTATCACTAGAACCATAACCAGGGACAGATTCTTTGAGGGATATGTGGGCCAAACTGGAAATTCTAGCCCCACTGGTTAACTCAAGAGATGGGGTGGTAATGGACTAAGCTAGGTGTGACCAAGGAGCCTGTCATCATCACAGGTAAAGGAACCCCCAACAGTCTGGACTGGTCAGGGCAGCAGTACCCAAATGTGCATCCTGAATAGGGTGTGGGGTGGGCCAGGCTGCAATGTTCACCAGCTTATACAAGGCCAAATGGAAGGCCAGACTTCGCATGTATGAGAACTGGGTCTGGGAGTGGATTAAGTGAAGGAACTTGGGAAACCCCCTGGCGAACCATAGCTCCCGCCAATGAACATGTGGTCCAGACCTGGGGGTCAGACAAGCTGGGCAAAGTAGCTCCAACAGCTGGCTAATGTTGCAATTGGTAATGGAACAGGGTGGACCAGGCAGGACCAAGCAAACCTTAGCCCACAGCAAAACTAGAGACCAGGAGGGAGCAAAGGTCATGCTGAGCTAGACTCATGTACCAACTGGTCTGCGTGAGCTAGGAACACTAAACCACAGTGTCTAAGGCATAGGTCAGGACAGGGGAGGAACTGAGCCAAGCTGAGTCAGAGCAACCACTGGCATGCATGTGATCTATGGCTGGGAACAGACCCGGCTAGGGAGCTAAGGGGACAACCCCAGCTGGGTTGAGGTTCCCACCAAGGGGCGTGTGGGCTGGAATGGGGTCTGCGTTCTGAACAGGACATGGTTGTAGTCTCCCTTGGCACAAATGTAGACTGGGATTGGATGCACCGAGTCTGGCCAGACTCCAACACCCTCTGGTGTCCGGAAGGACCAGGATAGATCTGGGATGGACTAGGCAAAGTTGCAACCCCTACAGAGCCATTCATTTGTGAGCCATATGTGGGTATGGACAAACCATAGCTGGGCTGCAACATCCAACAGCAAGGACCAGTTTGGGTTGAAGGCCAGTCAGGAAAAGCCACTGTTCCTGCTAAAACAGGAGGTGAACTGAGTAGGGCTGGCTCATGGACCCACTGGTCTGCGCAAAATCTGGCACTGTGAGAGGTTCTGATGGAGGAGCCTGGGCAACTCCTCTGGCAGGACACAGATCCAGCAAGTAAGCGCAAGAAACATGATAGGAAACAGCCCAGAACAGGCCATGGAAAGTTACCCATGGGCATACATCTGGCATGGGTCGGGGGAGGACCAGGCTGAATCAGTTCACATCATCCACTGGCAAATCCAGGCACCAGAACAGTGTGGGTCAAGCCAGGTTCGGTCGCAACAAAAACTAGTGCACAATACAGAATGCCAAGGTGAGGTTGCCTGTGCCAGAAGTGACCACAGCACCCAACCAGCACGCATGAGAACCAGGAAGGGAGGGGGGTGGAGCCGGCAGGGGAATAAGGGGTGGTTCCTTTGCTGGACAGCTACTCCCACTGGAAAGCATGAGCTGGGATAGGGGCAGACCAAACTAAGCAGGGCTACAAAACCTGTATGCCTCATATGGACTAGATCAGGGAAAAGTCAGGCTGGGCGGATTATTCCTACTGGTGCAAACAAAATTAGAGTGGGTGAGAGTTGTTTGGACTTAGCCACAGCATCAGCTGGCAGAAGCTGGCACTGGGGGCTAGTTCTGTCAAGTCAAACCACAGAACTACCTGGAGAGTGCATAATCTGGGAGTGGGAGAGGCCTGCGAGGGAAATAGTGGGCTCCTTCCTCTTGGGTTACCACTTCCACGGGAGGGCACGAAAACCAGGACAGGGGCTGGGGTGGAATGGGGTGTGGGACAGACGGGACTACTGCTACACATAGTGGCAAAGCAGGGTAGGGGGCGATCCTGGTGTGGGTTATTTTGAGTCACTCCAACTAGGCTGCAGCTCCCACTGGTTTATGCGAGGGGCGAGAATGTGCTGGACAGCACCAGGCTGGACTGCAACACCCATTGGTTCCAGTGCAAGTCGGGGCTGAAAACAGAACCAACCCAGCGATCGCAACCACCAGCTGATCAGGGCTATGGACTGAGTCGGGCCCTGTACCTTCTAGTACATACAAGAATCTGGTCCGAGAACACCTCAGACAAAGTTTCTTTGGAGATTTCCCCAATCGAAATGCTGGACTCAGAACCCTAACCAAGAAAAGAGAGAAGACAGAACAGGTCAATCAACCATCTCAGCTATACGTTGGCAGCGAAATACAGGGCAAACAGAGACTCTATGAGGGACTGTGTTAATCAGTGGATTCTTCATAGTGCTTGGAGTGGCAAGATTGGCAGTGATTCATAACTGGTGAACTACCAAAACCATTTGAGCAAGAACCTCAGAGACACCCAACATGCGGGACCTGGGAACAGTGGAAAATTGGATGGGCCTTCTCCCTTAATATCCCCTTTAAACATGAAGGAAACAATATGGAAATAATAGTCCTACCCACTTCCCTATAGTCCTTGAACCTTAATACCTCAATTAACTATGTAAAGATTGTCAAAAATATAACAATATATTAAAAAAAAAATTGAACCGTAAAACTTTAGGAATTAAGTAGTGAGTTTATGGTTGCTAACTACATATGTCTTTTCATTTTGTCTCTGCTATTAAAATGTTCTGAATGAAACGTTTCCAGAAAGAAGCTAACTGGAAGGTTTCAAGATCTTTGGTGAGCAGCTCAATGTATAAATTTGAAGTTTCAATTAACTTCTCTGTATAACGAAAGGCCAAATTTTTTACAGGCTACTCTACCCCCACCATGTAATTCCAGTCTATCTTTTCAGCACTGCCTTCTTCACATCCAACTAAGGTCCTACAGGATCTCTTCTTGCACACATTTGCACACAGGGTTTCTTCGGAATACAACTGTTCCTTCATACTTAATGGACTTATTTTCTGATACTTCATTTAAATCTCACTACCACATGAAGCTTTCTCCAAGCAGAGAGCAAGGCATCTTCTTTATGCTTTGCGAAAGATTAATGTATCAATTTATTTACTTAGCAACCAGAGTAAGACCAATCTTTAATCCATTGGTCCATTTCCTAAGAAGCCAAAGGCCAAGAGCCCAAGAGTCTCCCATGTGGATGGCCGAGGCTCAAGCATTTGAGCCATCTTCTGCTACTTTCCAAGGGATAACAGCAGGGAGCTGGACAGGAAGCCAAAGAGTCAGGACTTGAATTGGTGCTCCAACATGAGTTGTTGCCATCAACAAGAGCAGCTCATCCACTGTGCCAAAACACTGGCCCCTTTTATGCTCTTTTGCACATATTTTACTATAAAATGCATTATTGCATTGTATGTATTTGTATGTCCTCATAGTCCCTTAAGTCTTCAGTGGGTGCAACGATTTCATCATTTCACTTTGGTCTCCCAAAAGCCCAGAGAAAATGATTTTTATACAAAGGGTCTGTCTGCTAAACACATTAGCTGGTGGCCACTGGTAAAGCAATGTCTCAACTGCTTTTCTTATAAATTACATGCTACCTTAAAGCAACTGCACCTTATAGACGCACCAATTCCTTTCCCTGCAGCTCAACTTTCAATCCAGCTCCCTGCTTGTGGCCTAGGAAAGCAGTGGAGGATGGGACAAAGCTGTGGGATCCTAAACCTAGGAGGGAGACCTAGAAGATGGTCGTAGTTCCTGGCTTAATGTCCCTTAGAACCACTGTGGCCATTTGGTGTAGTCCTATATTAACTAATTAATCAGTGTAAAAAACCTTTTCTTAAAAACTTTCTGTAAGTAAAAAATTTTTAGCAAATTACATGCTGTAAAAACAATTTGGCTATCTGCTGAGTAGGTGCAACCAAAACAACCTTCTCCAAACACATTGTTAGGCAGATTGTTATACCCGCTTTCAAGAAACTTTCAGACTAATGAAACAGACATTAAAAACAGATACAATGTGAGGGATACATCAATTACCTGGAAGCTGCCAGGCAGACAAGGAGAGGGACTTACTACAGGGGAGTTGGCAAAGTCCCAGAGGAACTGACAATTGAAATACAAACAGACTTAAAAGTATGAAAGCCACAGGTATACTAAAGATGGAAGACAATGAATTTGGAAACTTGTGGGACATTACGATGCTGAATGCTTAGCCTCACAGTTTGAGTCTCTCTAATCAACATCCATTTACCATCTTACCTTGTCTTCATAACCATTATCTGTGACATAAGTTGGAGGTTTTCCAGGATAACGATAAAGAATGAAATCCCGACTACAAGGAGTAAAACACAAAGGGGAAGAGATAATTTAATACATAGAAGATAGTTAGAGAATTATTTGTGCTTTATACGCCTACCTTATTCACAGAAAACAATTCAACTGTTCAGTTTAATGTTTGGCATCAAATTTAATCAAGCAGCTAAATGATAACAAGAGGCACAACTAAGTCTGAAGTTGTATGAATTTTTAAAAATATCTCTTAATTTTGGGAGCCCACAAATTGTGAATCGCACATTTCTGACATTTGGTGATACTCTTTCTTTGAAAAGCAGGAGTTGGCTTTTTTTGACTTTTTAAAAACAAATATGTTTAAGGATCTCTTAGCCATATATGCACACACTTCATAGCTGTACAAAAACACAAAGCACACTAATTAAAAGCTGTCCCCTGACCAATGCTTATTCTAGAATTTTTGCTAGATTTTAGTGAGAACAAGCAGACTAGGAAGCATTAACTTTACAAACCCTGATAACAAGAGTTCTGAGTCTACCAGAGTATTATAGAACTATCTTTCAACATCCTAAGCTTTCTTATATGCCACCTTTGCAGTTTGTCATTCCACAAATATACCATATATTTTCAGTTTATGCACTAAGATTCTTCCAAGGAGCAAAACAATTAACTTTTTTTTTCACCCTTTCAAACTGAATTTCTACCTTACAGAGTGATATTGTCCCACTGAGAATTCACGCAAAAGAGATACAAAGTCATGGGCCTGGCGGCGTGGCCTAGTGGCTAAGGTCCTTGCCTTGAACACTCCAGGATCCCATATGGGCACCGGTTCTAATCCCAGCAGCTCTACTTCCCATCCAGCTCCCTGCTTGTGGCCTGGGAAAGCAGTGCAGGATGGCCCAAAGCTTTGGGACCCTGCACCCATGTGGGAGACCTGGAAGAGGTTCCTGGATCCTGGCTTTGGATCGGCATAGCATTGACCGTTGTGCTCACTTGGGGAATGAATCATTGGACAGAAGATCTTCCTCTCTGTATATCTGACTTTCCAATAAATAAATAAATCTTAAAAAAAGAAATACAAAGTCAAATATGCAATAATTTTTTCCAAAATGGATTTTCTAATTTCTTAATGGATAATACCAGTGGTTCTTATGCTACAAGTCCTTATGCTAAGAGTGTCTGTAAGATTCTCCATCCAAAAATCATATCAAGCTGACATTGCTTAGAATTCTTCACTTTACATTATCAGTATATCAGATCATAAGTTTTCCAAGTTCTAAAGGGAGTTTATTAGCAACCTTACAAATTCATGGATGCATGCGTGCACACTCACACACATTCACAAACTCAAAGTGGATAAAACTTACTTGTAAATTAGAGACAGTGCCTTTATTTCCAGCTGGCCAGCACTTTCCTAAGGACAAATAACATACAGTTTCTAAAAAATCATTCTGTAGTTAGAAGGTAGAAGATTTGCAAGCTCAACATTTTTCTTAACTGCTTATTACTTTTTTACATAAACTTGTAGAACACACTTCAACTTGTTTTGAGGCTTGGAATACTATGATAGCTACTCATTAAAATAAACTTATCCTGGGAAAGAAAACCATCTAAACCTTTCTTAGTTTGCCATTAAGTAATAATGGCCTTTCAAAAGGGAGTTTTGAAAGGCACTATAAAAACTGGAACTTAAAAATGCAAAAGTGGCAGGATATATTCAGTAAATGTGGTTTCAGTAAAGAACTACAAAATGAATTGTATTATATAAAGATTATGTCTAACTGAAGTGTGTTTATGAATTTCACTTATACAAAATGCTGGTAACTACAAATCAGAGAACTGCTTAATAACAATCAAAATAACATTCATCACCACCCTCCTCCCCCATTAAAGTGAAAAGGCCTAAATTTGTCCTTTTCTCAAGCAATGTGTACTCTCCCACTAGCCTATGGATCTGATTAATACACAATTGTCAACATTTAACAGAAAACTATAGGTACATTGCCACACTCTAAACTTTTCCAGCAACTGTCTGACTCAACACAGCTGACTTGTTATGAAAATATTTTGTCTGACTACAGCAACATGGATGAATGTTTTGATTACAACTCTAAATAACTCTGAAAATATTAAGTCCTTATATTTGATCTTACCTTGGGATCTCCCAACCGTTCCAGGTATTTCTCAAAAGATCCCTCCACATACTTCAAAAATAAAACAAACTTGACTTAACCAAATATATAGCATTATTGAAATTCAATCATATTTTGCAGTATTATATTCCAATGGGTTTTGTGGACAGCTCAACAATTATGGTATTAAATTACTATTTTGCACAGCACCTCAAGAAGATTTGCACATACATACACAACAGTTATGAGTGGAGAAAAGTCGTCCTATCAAAATTTTTTGGGAATTGGTTCTAGCTTATTCACACACCAATGCATTCCCTCAAATGGTTTGGCCCTGAGCTTCTTCTGAAATACCAACTTAAAGTGACTTGAGGATTTTCATGAATCAATTAAGCCCGACAATTGTAAGGATTTGAATTTGGCAAGAAACATGCATTTAATAAGTTAAATGAGGAACTTTAAAGAGAACTTCACTCATTTCAAAACAAGCCTAGGCACAGCAGAACCCTTAGGGGTGATGGAAATGGTCTTTATATTGATTATGACAGCAGTTGCATGATTATGTTACTACAAAATTAAAAATGCTAAACTTAAAATGACAAATTGTTGAATGTAATGTATGCTTCAACAAAACTGAAATTACACTCAGGAAATATAGATTTCTATTTTGATGCAAAAATATCATTAGACTTAAATCAATTTTTAATTATTCCTCATTTTGTTTTTAAGAATTTTGAGGGCCGCTTACCATATAATACACTAATTTAAATGACACAAATTTTTAACTTATAAATACATCCAAGAAATTCTCTTGATTCAGACAATAAATATATCACAATCTTATACATTTCCTTGTGCCTCTATATACCTGATATAAAGCCACTGCTCTACACACAAGCAGTACAGATTGGCTTCTATTTTTCTAGAGCTTTACATAAAGCAAAACAGAGTATAAGCTTTTGGGGAGGGAGGGAGGTGCCTGGCTTCTCCCATTCAGTGTATTTTGAGATTGATCCATGTAGTTTCAAAATTTTACATACATCTTTGTTATTCAAAATGTGGCCCATGAACCAACCGCAAGCATCACTTGGGAGTTTGTTAAAAATGCAAAAATCAGACTCCCGCTAAGACCTACTGAATCAGAACTGTAGTTTAACAAGTTTCCCAAGTGATTTGTATGCACAAAAATACTTGAGATGCACTGCTTTACACCACAGTCTTGCATTTGAAGTAAGGCAATAATCTTTTCCCAGGTGTGAAGAAGACTATCATCAAGCTTCAAGGTAATAAGCCTGAAACTCAAGAAGCCTTCAGATACTTTACTGAAACCTGTTGAGAAAATTAAGAGTAAACCTCAAACAGCAGGCAGGCAAACACCCACAAAATAGAAATCAAATAGTAATGGGAAAGCTTAGAAGGGTCTGAAAAATAAACAGCCACACAAAAGGCACACTGCACATGAGACCTTGAAAGCTGTTTTACTTAAATTCAATCATTAGCAGCAGAACTCCAATATCACAATTTGTAACAGGAAAAAGACTTGGGAGTTTAGAGTAATTTGTTCACTGGCAATTACATTTTATAAAATTCCTTGTAAAGACTGTGTATAGCATTAGCAAAGGAATAAAAGTGGGTTCCCATTTGTATACATTTATATATATATAGGTTTCGCTATTGCTATTTTAGGCTTTCATAAACTAGTTAATTTTTCAAAGAAAACATTAGTACGGATAATACAAACACCAGTCAAAACGTCACTTTTTAAGGTTTGGATTTTTGTTGTTCTGAACAGATAAGACACAGATAATTTTTCAAATTTTTTAGACTACAAAACAACTTAGTTCTGAGATGAGGTCTAAGTATGTTAGCTAGTGGGAGGCAGCCAGCTGGGAACTATATATTTGCTGCTGTGAAGAGATTGCACAATATAATCTAACTTTCATTTGGAAGTGCCCAAAATTCTTTTTCCTACCTGTTACAAACTCTAGGAACAACTCCCCCTTGAGTATTCTACTTACAGATTCAAAAGCTTGCTGATTTTCTTTCATATACGAAACACAAGCCTTTCTGATTTCCAAATGATGAACCTGGCTGCAAAACAACTAAAAAGAAAAAAATCACCTCACCATCAGTAGTCATTTGAAACAAAAGCTTCTAAATTTAAGACTATGAGCTGGATGCTAAACTTCCTGTACTCAGAAAATATGAAGGAAAAGGGGAAATTACAGTCCTCCTCCAATGAAAATGTTTAGTAACTTCAGTGTGATTGGAGGGATTCTCTTATGCTCCCCCTTCCTCTTTCCTACTTCTGATTTGCACAGCTTCTAGCTTTTCTTATGCATAAAATCTGGAGGAAGAATGAGATACTTACAAACGATCAAGACATATTTCAAAGTTTTCTTTAACCCCGTTATCTTATCATTCCTACAGAATGGTATTTACAAAACAGAAAAATAACAGCAAAGATATAGCAATATATTTCAACTAATCAGCAAAGGCACACACCAAGCTAATAAGATACAGATGGGCTCTTTCCAGGACTTAATCTGCCTGAATGTTTCACTAGAAAATAATAAATGGAATTTTCTGTTCTCACAGGAAGGCTACGGGGATGTGCTACAAGACCACGCCATATTTCAAACTCTTAACATTAAATTTAGGAAAGAAAGATTTTTTTTCTTTTACCTGCTCCGATTTAGGGAAGATAGATTTTTCTTTTACCTGCTCCGAAATAGCCCGAAAGAGACAGGAGGCATCCTTGGCAGTCAGCTTTCGAAACAGCCCTAAGCTGCCTAAATATTCATCCATTGATGTCTCACTCAGAGACTTCTGGCCGCAGTACTTTTTCCATCCTTTATTCATTTTGCAGGGTCGTAGAGGGCAGAAGGAACAGAAGTGTGGCAAAAGAGAAGTAGCAGAATGCAGGGAAGAATAAATAGGAGTGACAAGGGCTGGTTTTATGCAGGTATCTGAAAAACAGCCCCACGTCAAGGCATGAGAAGGCAGTTGAAGTCAGCACTGCAGAATCTTGCCACTTCCAGAAGCAGAAGCAAAGAACTGGCTTGCCCAGGACAGGTGGAGACCCTGCGAAAAGAAGAGGAAGAGCCAATGCTCCTAAGAATGAGGAAGTGGAGAAGCAGACTAGGGAGGGTGGGAGTAAGGGAGGGTGGGAGTAGGGGAGGGAGGGAGGGAGATGGCGCTCACAGAGCTATCTCATTGGGGAAGGGAAGGATTAACCCAATCAGCCCAAGGTTGTGAAAAGTATGCATAAGCAGCTGAGCTTTGGGACCAGCAGTATGCAGCTTAACTCAGGGCAACTGCTGCACGAGGCTGCAAAGAGGACTTTGATAAGGTTCAGGTGTGTAAAACAGCCTGGTCCACAGCAGACTGCCTTAGGATCTCTGCCAGATTTTTACAACTACAGTCTCAACCCAAATTGTCTGCTTTCTTCCTAGCTGCAGGAAAATACATAACTAACTAACTACTAAGAATATCTTTTCAAAAACAAAGAGGGAGGCAGGGAGCGCCTTTGATTTGATGGAGTAGAGGTCACAGCTCAAGCAAAGTAAAATACCAAAGCAATTATCTGGATATTTCAAGTACGGCAGCTTAAGTAATCTCATTTTAATTCTAAGATAAGCAGTAACCCTGCTAGGATCACAAAAACAGTCTATTAGCTGTGCTTTTAAAAAACCCTGATACATTTTTTCACTAATGTCTCCAAAGTACTGTAGGACACTATGAACAGCAGAAAAAAAAAAAGTGTTTCTTAAAAATGGGAAAACATGAGCATTTCAAACGAAAGCAGCATACGTAAAAACGCATTATCCACATACTTTCTGGTAGACTGTATGTAAAATACTGTGGCACTGTGTGAGAGGGGCTGGATACGAGAGGCATGTTTCAATGTATTATTAGAATACTACTCCAGGAGAGAAAAATCAAAGTAAAAAATAAAGGGAAAAAGAGGGCCAGTCACTTGTATTACTTGATTTTACTATGAAGTGTCTTATTTTTATTTAAATGTCAAAATCCAATTTCTTCTCTGCTTTTAAATTTCAATCGCTCTAAAGCCGGATTTGGAGAAGTGCCATAGTGAGCTGCTTTCAAATTATTTTTCTTACAATTGTGCATCCAGTAGTAAACATGACTATACTCCCTTTAGAAAAAATGTCAACTACTAATTTTATCATTTACGAACAACATACAAAAGCACTGTAGAAAAAGGAATAAAATCTTCCTTCAACAAGCCAATCTGAAATTACTTTCATTCATTTTTAAATAAATCATAATAAATCATAACCCTAGGGAAATGAAACCTTTTGCAAAAGTTCTGAAGCACTGGGAACAGGTATCACTCTCTAAAGCCACTAATTCACTGAACAAAGTAGTAGTAAGGGCTCTAGTTTAAAAGTTAATTCATCTTGATATATTTTACTTGTAGAGACAAAAATGTAAAACCTTCATAACTGTTGATTGTTAAACCAAAAACAAGATATAAAACTTTAACTGATGAAATCTATAAACATCATTTTGAGGAACGAGTAATCAGGAGAATCAGAAAATAGAAGAAAATCAGAATTAAAGAAAAACCATGAAAAGAAAAAGTAACACACAAGCTATGCTCACAGAGCTAAACCCACACAGAGATGCTCAACGGATTTTTGACAAAGATGCAGGAGCAGTTCAACAGAAAAAATTACAGTACTTTCATCAAACGGTGTCAGTAGAAATGACAATTCATATGCAAAAAAATCAACCTATATCTGTTTGTACAGTGATATACTCAAACTAGATCACAGATCTAAATATAAAACAGGGAGCTGCACTGTGATTCGTGCATCCCATTTTGTAATGCCAGTTTCAGTCCAAATTGATCCATTTCCCATCCAACTCCCTGCTAAAATGTGCCTTGGAAGGCAGCAAAAAGACCCAGCCATTGGGTACCTACCAGCCACGTGGGAGACCCAGATTCAGTTCAAGGCCCCAGCATTGGTCTGGCCAAGCCCTGACTATCAAGGTCACTTGGAGAATAAACTACTACATGGGTGTCCTTTTCCTCCACCTATCCCCTCTCAACACTGTTGTGCTTCTCAGATAAATAAATGTAAAATAAAACATCAAAGTTTTTAGAAGAAAACAGAAAATGTTCAAGGCCTTCAATAAGTAAAGAGGAAAAAAAATTGAAAAGAGGGAAAGAGGGAAAAAAAATTGATGAACTAACTAGACTTTACCAAAACCAAAACTTTTACCTTTGCTGGGAGTTTGAAAAGCACCAAACTGTGAGGAAATATTTCAGTATCATATCAAGCCAAAACAAGTCAACAAGAAAACAGTTTCAGGCAAATATACCATGGCTCAACAGGCTAATCCTCCCCCTTTAAGCAATGCCTGGATTCCATAACGAGGCAGATTCATGTCCCAGCTACTCCATTTCTGACCCAAGTTTCTGCTTATTTTCTGTGAAAGCAGAAGATGGCCCAAATGCTTGGTACCCTGCACCCACATGGGAGGCCTGGCAGAGACTCCTGGCTCCTGGCTTTGTATCGGATCGCTCTGGCTGTTGCAGCCACTTGGGGATGAAACCAGTAGATGGAAGATTCCCCTCTCTCTCCTTCTCTCTGTAACTCTGCCTTTGAAATACAAATAGATAAACTTTAAAGAAAAAATTAATTTTTTAATTAAATTTTCTTAAATTTTTAAGCAGGCAAAAGATTAGAGAACATTTCAGAAAATAAATAAATTGCTTGTAAGCACATGAAGCATTCGACCATCATTAGAAAATGCAAATTAAAATCCAAATGACTGGGCCCGGCACAGTGGTCTAGCAGCTAAAGTCCTCCTCCTTTTATATATGACTTTCCAACAAAAAATTAAATCTTTTAAAAAATCTCATGACTAAGATGAGTATAACATAGACAAAAAGCTTTAACCAAAGATGTAGTTTCTTAACAAAAGAGACCATTTGTAAAATCTTTATGATCTCAAAAGAATCCATTCATATGAGATCTATGGAAACACAGAGCAGATCAGTGGTTCCCTGGGGCTGTGCTGAGAATAGACGTGGACAACAAACAGGCACAAAGAATCTTTTTGGAATGAAAAAAAAAATCTAAAACTATTTCTTGATGTTTACACCATTCTGTATAATCATTTAAAAATACTGAGGGGTGGAGTGATAGCACAACTGGCTAATACTCCACCTACAAACGCCAGCATCTCACATAGGCAACATTTTGTGCTCCAGCTGTAGCACTTCCTATCCAGCTCTCTACTTACAGCCTGGGAAAGCAGTAGAGGATGACCAAAGCTTAGAACCATGCACCTGTGTGGGAGACCCAGAAGTTGTTCCTGGATCTTGATTTTGGATGGGCTCAGCTCTGACCTTTGTAGCCATGTGGCGGGGGAGGGGAATCAGTGAAGGCTAAGATACTTTGTATTGCCTTCTCTCTTTACATCTTTCCAATAAAATTTAAATAAATATTTCAAAAATTATTGAATTGCATTTTTTTCTTGGAAAGTCAGATATACAGAGGAGGAAAGACAAAGAGGAAAATGTTCCATCCATGGACTTATTCTCCAAGTGGCCAAAACGGCCGCAGCTGAGCCAATCCGAAGCCAGGAGCTAGGAGCCAGGAGCTTCTTCCAGGTCTCCCACACAGTTGCAGGGTTACAAGACCTTGGGCTGTCCGCAACAGCTTTCCCAGGCCACAAGCAGGGGGTTACAAGGGAAGCGGGGCTGCCAGGATTAGAATCAGCACCCATATGGGATCCTGGTGCACCCAAGGTGAGGACTTTAGCCACTAGGCTACCATGCTGGGCCCTGAAGCCTGAACCGTGTTTTTTTTTTTTTTTTTTAAGATTTATTTATTTATTGGAAAGTCAGATATACAGAGTGGAGGAAGGACAGAAAGGAAGATCTGTCCATCGATTCACTCTGCAAGTAGGTGCAGCGGCGGAAGCTGAGCTAGAGTTTAGCTGCTAGGCTAAAATCTAAGTCCTTAAAGACTTTGGAATCTAAGTCATTAACCAAAAATTCACCGGCCTCAATAATTCAATTTTTGCTGTTGTCTTTTTTTTGTATACTAAGGATTGGGAATTCGCCAACAGATTTTTAGTATATTCTCACTACCACAAAAGGAAACTCTAGGGCCTGCTGGCTAAAGTCCTTGCTTTGAGCATGCCGAGATTCCATATGGACACCAGTGCTGATCCCGGCAGCCCCACTTCCCATCCAGCTCCCTGCTTGTGGCTTGGGAAAGCAGTCGAGGATGACCCAAAGCCTTGGGTCCCTGCACCAGCGTGGGAGACCTGGAGGAAGTTCTGGGCTCCTGGCTTTGGACTGGCTCAGCTCTGGCCGTTGCGGCCACTTGAGGAGTGAATCATTGGGCGAAGATCTTCCTCTCTGTCTCTGCTCCTCTCTGTTTATCTGACTTCCCAATATAAATTTTCAAGTCCTTTAAAAAAAATGAAACTAATACAAAAGGAAACAAAAAATACTTTGAAACACATGAAAATGAAAACAAAACATATAAATACTTACAGGATCCAACAAAAAAAAGTCCTGACAGGGAATTTATGATAAACACCTCCACCAAATCTACTGGAGATGGGTCCTTGTGGGAGCAGCTAACAAGCCACTTGGAATGCAAATATTTCCTATCTTGGTGTCTGGTTTCAGCCTGGCCTCCACTACAAACTTCCTGACTGTATACCATGGGAGACAACAGAAGATGGCTGAAGTACTTGGGTAGATAAGAAAACTGTCAAAGTACTTAAGTACTTAACATTACACTGCAGGGAATTAGAAAAAGTAAACTCAAAGGAGGGAAATAACAAAGATTAGAGCATAAGCAAGTGAAATAGACTAGAAACAGAACAAAAGCAATAAAACCTAGTTACTGGAAAAGACAAAACGAAATCACCTTTATCTAGACTAAGAAAAATTTTCAAATAAAATCTGTAAAGGGAAGGCATCCATACAGCAAAGGAAATGATCAACAAAGTGAAGAGGCTACCAACAAAATGGGAGAAAATTTCTGCACAGTACACAATATATAAGGGACAAATTTCCAGGATTTACA